GATGGGAGAGAAGAAAGCATGTTCTTAAAAGCAAGTTGCCTTTACAGACTACTCTGTCTCTTGCTGTCATTTAGATGCCCATCCAAGAAAAAGAAGCTTCGAAGAAAGAAGTCATTCTTCTGGCAACGATGAAACATCCCAACATTGTAACCTTCTTCAGTTCATTTCAAGGTTTGATTTTTCCCATATTCTTAAAGAATTTTAATACAGTATAGGCGTGCTGGCTTACATAAAAGATATGTTCCTGAGAACTGTGTATAAATTATTTTTTATAAATGGGTCATTTCCCCATTTACTTAAATTGCAATTTGAGACATGGTCATTATTTCCTCTCTAGTGAGTTTTTGTGAACAGCTTTTGTATGTTTTCTTCAGTTTTTCCACCTCTCCTTAATTCCCACTCCCCCAAATGGTTAATGACTGATGTATTAGCTTTGCTGCAGTTACAACCCCCAAATATCAGTGGCCTACAATACATAGTACACATTTATCCCTCACTCACGTTACGTGCTGGCTGTGGTGCACCGGGGTCTTAAATCTGGGGTCCAGGCTGAAGGAGCAGCCCAGGTGTGGAGCAAGCTGTTGTTGTTCTTGTGAGCAAGAGAAAAGAGGAAGACAAAGTCCTCCCACGCCTTCACTCTCAAGCTCTGCTAGGATGTAGTGTGTGTGTGTGTGTGTGTGTGTGCACTCTTCCTGCACGAGGCCCTGCAACAGGTGGGGCTGTATAATCCTCTCACAGAGAGGCAGCAAACAGCCACACAGCACAGCCAAGCAAACTGCTGAAGTAGAGGGGAGGAATTTTAAGGAAGAAATTCTCTTCCTCTGCACACCCGAATACAACATCCCTTCTGCTTACGTCTGTCACTCCATCCCAAAGTTTAAAAAATAAAGAAAGAAAGAAATAATAGATGAAAGAGCATTGGTCAGAGACCATTCACTCCCTTAACAGATGTTACTGAGTGACTACTGTATGCCAGGCAATGTTCTAGGTGTCAGGAACATAGCAGCGAACAAAACAGATGAAAATCCCTGTCCTCATGAAGTTTACGTTCTAGTTGGAGGAGACAGGTGATAAATAAATATACAGCACGTCAGGTGTTTATTAAACTGTGACAGGCTGTATGTGCTGACGGTTCCCAGGCGGCACATCCCAGCCCAGCCCCCAGCACACCAGGCTGCTTTAATTCAAGAGTGGTAAATAGTTCATGGAGCAGGAGTGTTAACCTAGGCATCTTCAAGCATCATCAGGTGGGTAAAAATTAGTACACAAATAAATACAAGCACTATTTCTTGAGTTTTTACACTGTACAGGACACTGTTCCTTGCTGGTTAAGACTACTGCATTCAGATCAGTTCTGTGTGTGCCTTTCTTTAACTCCTGGGTATTTGAAAGAGCTCTTGGGACTCTTCTGAGGTCTTCGTGGGAGCAGAGCAGTGCACACAGGCAGGGATTGAGTTGTACAGAACGACTTTTAAGAACAGCCCTGCATTCCTGTCCATTGATTCCTAACAATGCCGTAAAATGATCTTTCTTTCCCTCCTGTTTTGATTTACTATTGTGACTCTCTCTGTCTAACTAACTCCTGCTCATCCTCAGGCCTTCCCTGAACGCACAATTCAAATTATAGCTCCCTTCGCTGGTCTTCCACAGCAGTCTTGTACTTATGTGTGTATGGTTATTTGTGTACATAATTATGAATTTGTTTAATATTTGTTTCTCTTTAGATAGTAGATTTAATGAAATTTGGGACTCCATCTTTTTTGCTCACCACTTGCATCTAGCACACAGTAGCTGCTCAATACATATTTGCTGAATGAGAGAATGGACTGGACCCCTTTCATAGACTGGGTGTATCTTTATAACATGCAAGATCGATTTTTTCTTCTTTTTTTTCTTTTTTTCACGTCAGACGGGTAATGTGCCCACGTGGTAACGAGGATTGAGGGAGGCACATCTCACGCATGCGTGTGAAAACCTGACCATCATGCTTATGAACTGCAAAAGGATCCAAGATTAATTATTGAGGACAGTTTACACTGGATACTGTTACAGAACTAAGGTCGCTTTTACAATATAAATGACCTCTGCTGAGTTTGTTTATATTGTAAGTTTAAATTTTCTTATGGCTTTTTTTTTTTTCTAAGTAGAGCACCCCTGTGTTTAGGAAAACCAGAGCTATTGTTATGCCTTTGAGTGCTCTTGGCAGATTGTTGGGACTTGAACCACCAAGCTTTTCTAAAAGCCTCAGAGGGCCCTGAAGCACCTGTCTGTTAGACAGTGTAGATAAGGGCTTCGTTTGCCCTTAAACAGCTTACTACTACAAACAACATTAGAACCGTGGCTGTAATGTTTGTCTATGGAAAATATGACGTTTTTATTCGTTTGAAGCAACATGAAAATAAGAAGAATGTAGTGATATTTTCCTAAGGCTAAATTAATTCCACTTAAATTCTGTGAGTAAATATTCAGTAAGCGTCTATTATGTGCTAGGCATGTCTTAGAGATATATCAGCAAACAAAAAAGGCAAAAATTCCCACACTATTGTATTCGTTTTCTATTGCTGCGTAACAGATGACCACAAATTTAGTGGTTTAAAACAACACCTATTTGTTGTCTCTTAATTTTTGTAGGTCAGAAAACTGGGCTTAACTTAGCTGGATTCTCTGTTCAGGGTCTCACATGGTGGCAATCAAGGTGTCAGCTTGGGACTGCTATCTCATCTGCGGCTCATGATCCTCTTCCAAGTTTATTTAGGTTGTTGGCAGAATTAATTTACCTGCAATAATAGGACTTAGGTCCCCACTTTTTGGCTGGCTGTGAACTACTGCTACAGATGAACCTCTGTTCTCTTCCATATGGCCCCTTGAATAGAGTTGGGAATCTCTCACTTGCTCTGGCCCTGACCTCTAGACCCAGATTTAAATGGCTCATGCGATTAAGTCTGAACCACCTGGATAATCTTTTTTATGAACTCAAAGTCAGCTGATTAGTAACTTTGATGATATCAGCAAAACCCATTTGTTATATAACCTAACCACAGGAGGAATGATATCCATCATATTTATAAGTTCTGCTCTTATATTTATAAGGGGAGAGAGTTATGCAAGGTTTGTCCACCAGGACCATCTTAGCATTCTGCCTATTACAACTAGGGAGCTTATATTCTTGCATTTGGGAGTGGTGAGAGATGGATGATAGATATAAACATAATTACTAAGTACACTATAGAGTGTGTTAAAGATGATAAATGCTGTCAAAAAATAGAATGGGGTGAAGATGCAGTTTTAAATGGGTAGTTAGGATGGACCTTATCATGAAGGTGACATAGGAGCAAAAACTTGGAGGAGATGGGAAGAGAGTCCTGAAGATGCCTAGGAATGAACCTTCTAGGCCAAGGGAACAAACACTATAAGGGTATGAGGCAAGAGCAGGCCTGATGTGTTAAGGGACCAGCCAGGAGGCTACTGGGAGAGGCAATTAGCCCTGGGTGCTAAGCATCACAGTACATTTTCGGTGGGTATGCCAATAATGCAAGACCCTGACCACTGTCTACCTGGGCTATTTCTCTGGACTGTGTTTGCAGCAAGCAACTTTGAAAGATGAGGTGACATCTCCCCTAAGACAGAGAGTGGGCTTATTTACTGCTCACTATAAAAGTGACAGCTTCCTGAAGCTCAGCATTCCCCTCCAATAATGCAGCCCACTCCATGGGCAAGGGTACATCTAGCACAACTGTGTGGCCGCTCTGGGATTTGAAGGACACGGGGAACCAGTGCTAACATTAAGTCCTGGCTACTGCTTTGGCCAAGAGTAATAATGTCCTTTGTCTCTGACCAGGAGTCTCATGTCTTCTGCCAGCATCCATGAAGTAGATAGAATCAAGCTAGTAAATAGGGTAGAATCTCGGATCCTTCACAGAACCCTGATTGAATTCAACAAGGGTAGAGTACAATGAGCAAGGGGAAATAGTAGGAGATATTTTTTATTCTTTATTCTGATACTATGTACTTTCTAGATTTTTGGTAATAAAATGCCTTTGTTTTAAGAAATGTTGATAATAATGGATGGAATCTCATTTCATCAAATCCAAGATGGCATTGATTATAAGATACACCATTATACACTAATTAGAAAGAAAAAATGCTGTCAATTAGATTATAACACACTGCCTTCTTAACACTTACGATTTTTATTTTATATGTATTGAAAGAGCTCTTTCAGGCTTAAACATGGAGTTTTATATTACTCTTGTGCATACATAAAAAGGAAAATATAAGCAAATAAAATTGGTCCAGGTATTCTAAAAATTATGCAGGCAATGAAAACATTGGGCCTATCGCAATTCATTAGAAGATGCCAATGTGCGTAAGATACAATTTTGATTTTTGAAAAGTGCATTTTAGAATGAATTAATTATAATAAGTGTTTAATAAATGTTGTAACTTAGCAAATAAAAAGGTTGTAACCTTAATGTTAGTGTCTCTCAATTGTTTTGAAAGGTCAATGATCAATGAACTTCATAGGTCCAGAAACCACTGCCCTATAGTGTACCTTGCACGTCCTCTTTGGGATATCCTTTTTCTTTTTTTCTCAATTTTCAAATATTATACATCCTTTAAGAGCAAACACAGATCCCTAAACCTTAAGTGATCTCTCCCACCTCTGCTCTGAGCACCTCTGAACTCTCACTGGCCTTATCATACAATCACATGGCATTTACAATATGCTATATAATTATGTCAGTGTATATTGTTTACTTCCCTCAATAAGATTGAAAATTCCTTGAGAACAAGAATTGTTTCTTATACCTTTTCTCACTCCCTACAGTTCTTATGTTTTAAACAGATGGAAAATTTAAAAGCATAAATGATTTTCCAGACAGTTTTAACCTAATAAATATGAAATTAACAATGGCTAATGGGTTAAAAAAAAAAGTGCTTATTTTAGGGCCAGATAATGCTCATTGACCCGAATAGTTTCTGTGAGATGGCTAAGCCATGATTAATCCATTTATGGATTTAGTCCATTTCTTTCACCAAATGCCAGCGTAAGGTCGGGTGAGTTGGAATTGGTGGAAAGGAAGTGAAATGGAACCCTTTCTCCTTAGGCTCCTTCCTCTGACTCTTCCATGGCTTTGAAATTGCCATCCCTTCATTGCCATGGCAACCCCTTCAATGACTGAGCTACAAGAAACATCAATTCTAAAAGTAATGCATTTCTGAAAATAACTGATCTCTAGACGTTAGGGTATATCAGGAAGCATCTTCTCAAAACCCTTCCTGGATCTCCACTCTGACTTTCACGCACTTTCTCTCTGTTCTCCTCGCCCTCCGGCGCGCAGACTTCTGTACTGCACTTCTCACCCGAGGCTGAGTGACTCCCCGACTAGACTTTGCCTCCTTAAAGGCAGGAAGGATGGCTTCTTTGCTTTTTATTCCTAACACGACATTCCTTGTTTATTGCATGTCCTCAATAAAAGTTTGTTGATGACTGAATGGATCTGTCCCTTAAAGAAGGGAGGTGGAAAAATGGAAGTGTTATGTGCAAGAAGCCTGCTTTGTGAATTAGAAGAAACCAAGAGCAGATGCTGCCTGGTTACTAATATCTACTTTAAAGTTGTTTTATGCTACTTGAAAGAAAAAGGTAGCAAAAATAGGTATTTGGCAAGAGATTCTGGCATTTAGTGGGTATTCAATAACTACAGGGGAAAATACTAGAAAGATTAACAATTACTTATAAGCCTAATTTTGGTGTGTACGTTTTTGTTCCTTAGGTATTTTTATGAGTCCACTCAACAAACCTTTATTTAGCCCCTTTCATGTGCCAGCTAGGTACAAAAGAATAAAGTATAGACAAACAAGTTAGTTGAAGCCCTTTTTTTCTAATAACATCTCAGCTGGTAGTTGATTGGCTAATGAACAAAGCTGGTTAAAGCAGGAAATCATACATCTCATTCTGTTCCAGCCATAAACTGGGTAGTTTATAAAAACAGAAATTTATTTCTCATAGTTCTGGAGGCTGGGAAGTCCAAGATCAAGGTGTAGGCAGATTCCGCATCTGGTGAGGATCCACTTTCTGTTTCATAGATGGTCCTTCTCATTGTGTCCTCTAATGGCAGAAGGGGAGAGGGGTCTTTTATAAGGACACTAATCCCATTCATGTGGATTCCACCGTTATAAGCTAGTCACCTCCCAAAAGCCCTGCCTCCTCATATTATCACCTTGGGGGTTAGGATTTCAACATATGAATTTGGGAGAGAGACAAAATTTAGACCATAGCAATCATACAAAGATATTTTATATAAAAATACAATCATTTGCCAAACTTTTGATGCAAGACCAAAGTCTTGTCTTTGATTATGAATCTACTAACTGTAGTTCTGAATATTCTTTTTTATGTAAACTACACCCCTTATTTAGAGTTTCCAGTTTCCTTTCCTTAATGCAGAATGAGAATTTGTGGAAAATCTGTGTCCACAATCCTTTTAGAGTTTTTCCAGTTATATTTCATTTGTCCCATCCAACATTTGGATCAATGGCATTTTTTTTTTAAAGCTACTCACTTTTACTGGTCCTCCAAAACATTCAATGTAGTTTTTGTAGAAATAACCACCTCTTTCAGTTTCCATTTATATTTCATCAGTTTATGTAATAATGATAAGAATAAATGGCATAGGCCGGGCGCGGTGGCTCAAGCCTGTAATCCTAGCACTCTGGGAGGCCAAAGTGGGCGGATCGTTTAAGCTCAGGAGTTCAAGACCAGCCTGAGCAAGAGCAAGACCGCATCTCTACTAAAAATACAAAGAAATTGGCCAAATAACTAAAAATAGAAAAAATCAGCTGGGCATGGTGGTGCGTGCCTGTAGTCCCAGCTACCTGGGAGGCTGAGGCAGGAGGATCGCTGGAGCCCAGGAGTTTGAGGTTGCTGTGAGCTAGGTTGATGCCATGGTACTCTAGCCCAAGCAAGAGAGTGAGACTCTCTCAAAAAAAAAAAAAAAAGAATAAATGGCATAAACAGATTTGGGAACAAGCACAATGATGTTGTTAAGAATCAGTTTAATTGGTGGGAGCAGAGATACTTGGACATACGAGAGAGCCTGGTAGCCACTAGTGTCTGTCTTGAGGGACAACAGTAATGGGGAGTGTCCAGTAACCTAGTGAGTGGTTAGACAGAAGTCAGTCAGTACTCAATGGCATGGTTGAATAATAATATAGAAATTTCTTAAGAGAAAATTTCTATACTACCATTTCCATTTTACAGATGAGCTAATGAGGCGCAGAGGAATTAAAGTCACTTACCTGGTGTCACAGACTAAGAAATATAAGTGGTAAAGTGGGATTAGAACCCAGTCCATCTTGATTCTACAGCCAGAATTTTTTACTTTTATATATTACATTTTTCTGTTATATTCTCCACC